CTCTATTCCGGAGGGGCTGGATTGGAGGGGATTGGTTTAGGCCATGAGGCAGTTGGTTTCTCGAGCCAATCGGGCCCGTTCCACCATAAGGAGCACTCAGCAAAATCTTGTGGTTTACATCCACGCGTTCCTAAGTCTGCTGGATTATCACCGCTGGTTACGTGGCGCCAAATGGTGTTGCTGACATTTTAAAGAATTTGAGTGATCCGGTTGGCCACATAAGTTTTCCAGGAATGTGGTGTTTTTTCCAGCCAAGCTAACACGATTGAGGAGTCCGACCAGAGCGTTAATTCATGAGGTGGCAGATTCAGTTGGGAACGGGTAACAGCGGTTAACCTCGACAACAACACAACCCCACAAAGTTCTAAACGTGCAAACGTATCGTTTGCAGCGGTGCAACTTTGGTTTTGGCAACAAAAAGGTGAGACGGGAAGTTATTTTCTTCGTGTTGCACTCTGATGTAAACGCAAGCGTCTGAGAAACAAGCGGCTTTCGGGCGAGAAGCGCACCCAACGCGGTATGCTGATAGCGCTTATTGCCTGGAGGTCTTAGCGGAAATTGTTCCACTTATGGGAAGACGTAGGCTTCACATGCTCGTCCCAGTCTGTTCCCTCGAACCACAATTGTTGGAGGAGGATTTTGGCAAGTATCATTATTGCGATAGCCATCCTGCCGGGTCGAAAAGTCTCGCTACGGCCGACAGTATTTGTCATTTTGTGTTCGACTTAGATGCGGGTAAAGGATCGTACGAGTACGAGAAGGAGTCAGTAGTGCGTTCCATCTTATTCCAAGCGTTTTGGTTGAGCTTGTATCCTGGCATTTGAGAAACTCAGTATCTAAGACATCAGAATCTGGGATTATTTCAAGAATTTTTGGATAATTTGCTGTAATTTTTTTCAGTGGAAAGCCTGCCGATTTTAGAGCTCCGATAGTTTGGGTTATAGAGGTGATAGTGGACTGTATATTGTGTCAACCAGGGAGTACATCATCTACATATGTTTCGTGTAGTATGATGTTTTTGGCGAGGGGGCATTTTTCTTGGCAATAGGGAGCTAACTGGTGGAGCGTGCGAATTGCAAGATATGGGGCGCAGTTAACACCTAAAGTGACGGTTTTTAACTTAAAATCTTCGATTGACAGGTTAGGGGCTTTCCTAAAGATGATCCCTTGGAAATTTTGATCTTCTTTATGGACGAGTATTTGGCGATACATTTTCTCTATGTTGCCATTGAAAACGAGTTTATAAAGACGCCATTTGAGGATAATGGACGCCAGGTCGTTTTGGAGTATTGGGCCTGTATAAAGAACGTCATTCAGGGAGTTTCCTGAATGTGATGTCTTAGATGCGTTAAAGGCGACACGCACTTTTGTCGTTTTACTGTCGGGCTTTAAGACAGCATGATGGGGTAAGTAAAATTAACAATATTTTCCGTTTTTTATTACTTCAATGGGTGAAGCCTGCTCCATATGATCCATTTGCAAGTACTCGTTAAGTACTTGTCGCGCAGTTCCGGCTTTTTCTCCAGAGTCCTTTCGATGCTTATGTACTGCTACTGTGCTGCTGGGCGGGAGTGTCCTGGGGTAAGTGCATCCGGGAATTCGGGTTTGAAAGGGAGTTTCACGACGTAGCGTCCATCCTTTCGTTTGGTGGTCGTGGTCCTGTAGAGCTCCTCACAGAATTCGGCTTCCGCTGATTTGGGTTGAGCGGTTTCTATCTCCTCCTGCTCCCAAAACCTTTTGAGCAGCGTGCTGAGTTCGGGTTCTGTTGCCTCCGTAACTCGGGTGGAGAACGTCGAGATATGTTCTCTGACTGGACCTCTGAGTATCCAACCGAATATTGTGTTTTGGGCTACTAAGGTGCCGCAGACGTTGTGTTCTAGCCCTTCGGGGAGTATTTGGGGAGTCACATCGCTTCCTATCACGATGTCGATTTTCACCGGTGTGAAGCAGTCAGGGTCCGCAAGTTGTAGGCAGCGTAATTCCTCTATATTGCCGTTTGACACTTTAACTGTGGGTACAAAGTGAGTAAGTTGTGGGATAATGATGGCACTAGTTGTTATTTTCTGGCCCAAATTGGATGAACAAGGCGTTATTTCGCACGTTTTATTCGACCTTTGTAACACCATTCCTCCCATTCCGGAGATTTCGTAAAACGTTTCTCTGGTGGGTAGGCCTAGTAGTTTCTGTACTCGTGACGCCAAAAAGGTTTTTTGTGACCCTTGGTCGACGAGAGCACGAACTTTATGATATTCCCCGGCAAAATATATTGGGACGACTGCCGTGGGGAGTAGGGTTGTTGCGCTGCTGCTGGAAAAATGGGATGTAACTTGTTGGGTGTTGGGATCAGGTAAGTTCTCTCCCAGCGCATTTTTCCTCGCTTGTTCGGATGTCGTTGGATTCTCATGATCTATCCGACTTTGAGTCGCCATTTGGGTAAGGGTCTTTTGGGGTCTTGCGTTGGCCCTAGATGATTGGGATTGCGGTTGGAAGTGCAGGAGGGAGTGATGTCTCTTTTGGCAGTATAAGCATAAAAACTTGCTCTGACAATCATTTTTGATGTGGGAGTATGAGAGGCAATTCTCGCAATATTTATTGTCCCTTACGAACTTGAGGCGATCAGTTATGGACAGCGCTTTAAATTTCACGTAGGTTTTCATTGGGTGGTTTTGGTTACATAATTTACATGACACTTGCTGATTTAGTTCAGTGTGGAAATTATGGGTCCTATTTTTATTCATGAAAGTTGAGTTTTGGTTTATTGATTTGGGGGTGAAATTTGGCAGAGACGTTCTTGCTCTGCCCGGGCGGTAAGTGTTGAGTCTCTCCACAACTTTATATCGGGTTGTCAAGAACTCATTCATATCTGCCCACAGCGGTAGTTATTTTCGAGAACTTAGTGACTGTTCCCACAGGGAAAGGGTTTCACTGGGAGGTTTTGATGAACAAATATACACAAGGATGGGGTCCCAGTCGGAGGTTGGGATTCCTTGTGCGGCCAAAGTGGATAAGCAGTTATTTATTGTTGTTTGAAGTTTCTGAATCTGCTCGCCGTTCTCTGAGTATATCTGTTGGAGACCAAAAAGGGTCTTCAGTTGGTTATCAACCAATATTCTGCGGTTCTCATACCGCGCTTTCAATGCGTTCCAGTCTAGTTTGAAGCTTTCATCAGTCAGTGGGTATTGCTTGACCAATAGCCCTGATTGGCCTACCATTTTTTGACGCAAATTGTAGAGTTTCTGGGCTGGCGTTAGCGTGAGGTGATTTCCATAGACTGCCGCGAACATATCCTCAAAGGCCGGCCAGTCTTCGTACCCACCATGAAAGACTTCGGTGTCACATGGTGGTACTTTGAGAAAAACTTCAGAGGTGTTTGAAGTATTTGGGGGGTTTCTGGGTTTTGGAGGTAGGGCCAAGATCTGGAGAGCGTCTAAAGTCTAGGACATACAATTTTCATAACTCTCTGAGCATTTTTTATATTTTTGTTCGATTGAGCCACTTGACTCATCGTGATCTCCGGAAAGGGATACTGCTCTAAAGGATGCAACGAGTGATTCCCACAATCTGTCCAGTTGATGGATCTTGACCTTCAAAAGGGATTCTGTCTGGTCAGCTATAAGAGTTGCTGACCATGTAGATTAAAGGACTCTAATCTATTGCTTTCAAATATGAAGGCTTGGAGGCTTGCCTCTGAATCATTATCAGTAGCAGTTATGGATTTCTTTTCCATTGTGTGTGAGATGGATAATTTGGGTTGGGTCAATTATATAAAATATAACTCGTTATAATATTAGGGGGTTGAATCGAGTTTAATTATATTTAAAATTGATTTAAAATAAATCTTTGGTTATTTTATTTATTTTGTATGGGTACTGGTTTTGTCCAACTGTGAGTCAGTTGCTTTTTGCTACACTGTACTGTCCTAGCGCGTCTAAGTCCAGTAACAGTGATTTTTATGTGCAAAGCAAGAGTGTAAAAAAAGGGTGGAGCCTATTTATGTACGCGTTGGTATGTATGTATGTACTTACCTCGGCGGTTTTTTCTATGTGAATATATATATGCTATATGAGTGCGTGGTAACCGA